TGCCCTCTCCTGTTCCGACAAAGGGGAGCTCAGCCCCTGGCGAGAGCAGGGCAGCGAAACGCACCAAGGAAATGGCTGGGCAGGGGGAAAAAGGACTCAAGGGAAAATCTGGCTCTGAGACTGGCCTCGGTGTGACCAAGAACCCTGGCAGTACCCAGAATCCTCTGGGTGTTACCCAGAATCCTCTCATCAGCGCCAGCGCTCTGTCGGGTATTTCAGTGGGACTGAACTGCAGTAAATGGGGTTTCACGGCAGCCACATGCAACCGGCAATGGCCCCAAAGGCAAATTGGACAAGAGGAGGAGGGGGCCATAAAACCATCATGAGGGGCCAGAACAGACCCAGCTGCCCTCGCACCAACAGTAGCAGCTTTAGAAATACCTGTGAGCTGCTGTCATGGGCAACATGCCCCCACCCAGGGACGGTGACAGCTGGTCTCCAGGCTTCCTGGCCAGGGCTGGATTAACCCATTGGGGCTCTAGGCACAACACACGTAGGGGCCCTACCCACTGATGCATAACAACACGGCGCTAGACAGCGCACTCCCTGCAGCTGGGCTGGCCGTGCTGTGGCTGCCCCGGGACCGGCTGCGTGTTCTGTTGCTGCTCGGGGCGCTGCTCATCGTGACTGGGGGGCGGGTCGTACCTCCACTCAAATTTCCCTGGCCATAAAGTGCTCCGTGTGGCTGTTTGTTGGCCCCCCAGGTCCCTCCCCCCACGTGTGGGCCCCAGGTGCACACCTAGTGTATGTATGCGTTGTTCCTGGCACTGGGCACCGCTGGCCACAGGCCAGTCCCTGGGGAAGGGTGGGAGCAGTGGCTGCCCTGGCCCTGTGACGGGGCCGGGTGGGGCTGTGCCAGCCCTGAGCTCTCGTTCTGCAGGGCAGCTGGAGTTCTCAGGGGCTGAACAGCTCTTGCTGGGGATCGGGGCCTATGGCGGAGCCGCCCTTCAGTGCCATCTCTTACTGGCTCACCGTGGGTGAGGGGGAGAAACTCCCTGCCACTGCCCTCCTCCCTCCAGCTGTGTGTCGACGTGTGGATCCAGGCGCCCAGCCTGGGACAAGCTTGAGACTCA